AGAATATTTACCGCCATAAATAACAACAAAAACATAGACTTAAACATAATGTGGTCAACCCGACCCCAAATATTGGCAATGAAACAGTAGTTGGTATTGATGTTAATAGATTACCCATCTTCTTTTATTCTATTTGTCAAGATTAAGAAAATTTTGAGCAACATGTTTTTCTTCTGCCAGTAATGTCAACAAGCATATAATGAATATTACATTGATGTCGTTCTTACATCTAATTATAGTTATTATTTATTGTGTTTATCTCTTTTTTTTCCTCTCTCTCTCTGTCGCTGTCACTCTCTCGACGAAAACACATTTGGATTGGCTTGATTAATTATTAAAGAATCATTCATTTAAATTGGTATTTCAAAACAAAAAAGTATTTAACTAATTTATTCAAAATTATATCAATTATTATCTGTATCAAGACAAGGAAATATACTTGTTTTAATTCACTTTTTAGATTATGAAGATGACATTCGTTTATAGGCGACATCTATTTGTCCTGATAAATGTACCATAATATAATTTTCTATAATCATATAAATAATTGTTTGTTTTCTTTATATCTCGAATTTAACTAAAAGTTGAGTGTCGCTGCTGAAATGTAATAGTGTTGAAAATTTATTTTGATAATGGATTGATATCAGGAAACTATGTAACGTTATCTTGAACAAATAACAACCTATGTCGACTGATATGTCTATCTATATTTTCATCCTAACGTTGTCGTCTACAACCATTTACGCTCCAGAACGATACGTAAACGAACCGTATTTTCTTGTAATTCTACGGATAGTAATACGGTACCGTATACGATATCGTATTTTTACCAAATATGGCTTCGTATGAGCCGTAATCTGATTATGAGACGACTGTATTACTGGACGCAGAATTATTGCCAGAATACGATATGTTCACTTATCGTTCAACTGAAAAAATTTTAGAATAAAACATTGTTTCCTAATTCCATGATATCAACTACTAGAAACATCAATATAATTCACATGATTTCTGAAATTTTTCGTATGCCATGTTGTTAATATGTTTTGACATTTATATCGTATCTTTCATTAGCAGAAGATCACTACTATGAAGATGTCAAACTTTCAAAGATATAAGAAATCGTCTGAAATTTTTTTGATATCTACGAATTCAATTTTTCCAATTTATTAAACTATAACACTCGAAAATAGCATTCCTATAATAATCAAAAAGAATATGTTCTTGAAAGGTGTGGATGTGAGTATGTGTCGTTCTTGTTTTCTTCCATCTCCTCACCCACTCTTAAATAGCGGAACACTCACTCATACCTCACACCCATTGTTAAACGTTTTTAAACTATTTCTCTGAAATACATTTAAAATCCTTTGAAAAAGCACGAGCTAATGATTTTTCATTTATTCGAACATTTAAATTACGCTTGATGTAAATATGTGGGAGAAAAATTGGATGACGCAGGTTTGGGTTATAGCGACAGATGCACTATTATATTGACGCTTTCAGGTGTTAAATAGTTTATCATATCTGAATGAGCATGTATTCTAGAATTCTGATGACGTAGTTCTATATTTTTGTGCAGCTTGCGACTTTCTTTGTTTCCATATTTTACTGTTAACAGATTTAAAGCAGTTTTCAATATGATATTTGTGATCTATAGTCTTGTTTTTATCTATACTAAGTATAAGAACAGAACCATTTGATTTAAAGAGTAGATACAATTAAGTTTTTCGTTCAAACCTATTTCGACGAATAATAATCATTGACAATTGATCTTCACTAATGTAACTAGTGCTAGTTGACTTGCATCCAACCCGTCTATGATAAATCTAATTATATCTTATTATCTATAATATGATTGCCTAATTGACATGATCTATCATAAAATTTCACCAAACTTTCAAGACAAATTCTTAGTTCGTTCTTGCTTTTGTTCATTATCAAGTTGATGAGCTATCCAATGAGATGTAACTTTATTTATCGTCTTTAAACAATTGTAGATCATGTGTGTTCTATGGTACCATGAGAGAGAGGTCATAAATCGAATATGAATTATTGTTGATAACCTATCCTATCAGTTTAATATTTACATTTATATGCTCGGAAACTGAATGGCCAGGTTAGTAGTTATCATTGACATTTTCTCTTTCTTCATTTACATGTCGAGATGTAGTCTTAGTTACAGATCCAAATACTACAATCAGTTCGAATCATCGAAAATATTATTTAAATAATCACGATTTCCTCAAAAATCGGCAGTTTAGGCGATTAATCGACCTAATAAACCATGGTAAAATCGTCAATTTTCGCGTGATTTTGATGATATGGGTACTTGAAGACAAGAAAAGCATATCTTAAACGTAGCATCATAGTATACAGTTTCGAATAGCTTCTGCAGTAAAATTAGATGATTGGCATGTCCAACTGACAAAGATTTGTCTTCCAGCGTTTTGTATTGACTGAAATGAATCCACTAATACATATTTAGTATGAATCTTCACTGTATAACAAATTATCTAATTTCTAAAAATAGTTTTGAAGTCATCCTTTTTCAGAAAAAGTCACTTTTGATATCTGGAAATTAAAAAAATATCTAATAAAAAAATGCTTTACTTAATCATTCAGTCATTTTTGTTGTCATGAAATCGTCAATGAATTGCGATTAATCATCCAAACTTAAGCGATTTTGAAGACATGAGTTTGCATTTTCTAGCCAAACTAGTTCAAATTTTACCAAAGTATCTATTGAATTCCTTATGCATTTTTGCAAATTTTTTTTTAGTTGAAATTGAATTAACTAAATAATAAACAGAGTTATCACAGAATATCATTATACTAGATAGGACATTTTACTATTTAATCATGTAACAAACATTTTAATGTTAATATACAGGGTGTCTGAAAAGAAGCTCCCTATTTTGAATTCTTTATTACTCTCAAACAACAAAAGATATCGTAACGATGTTTTCACTGTTTTGAAGCATGTGTCATAACATTTTGTTGTGGATGAAAAAAGCTGATTGATCGTTTGACTGTCTAGGACCCCAAGCCCGAATGTCATCTTGAGAACATCTAGAAAGAACTCATTATTTTGAGTAGTTTATTGATCGTATACTAGAACTGAAGTGTGAGTGTGTGGGTGTAGATAAGCATTTTTGCATTATTCAAACACACACCAAGACTTCACATCTACACTCACATGCACACTCCACACCGATAAGCACACTGACATCAACACTCGAGCTCTCGTATAAGAATAATAAACTACTCAAAATAATGAGTTCTGTCCAGATGTTCTCAAGATGACATTCGGGCTTGATCTTAGGCAGTCAAACGATCAATCGGCTTGTTTCATCTAAAACAAAATGTCATGGTACATGCTTCAAAACAATGAAAAAATCGTTACGATATCTTTTGTTGTTTGAGAGTAATAAAGAATTCAAAATAGGAAGCTACTTTTCAGACGCCCTGTAGTTTATAAAATTGTCAGCAATATTTTCATAAACTCTGATCAGTTCTAATGAGGAAACGTTTTCAACTAATCAGTCGCTTTTGAGTTCGGATTCTGTGCATAAGATAGACTCCAGTGAGATATGAAAAACCTCAAAGTGATAAATCTCCTTTGGTTTGTTATCCAGAGTTTTAGGCATTTTAATGAAATTTTAGTCTATGGCATGGTATATACCAACCAATCGAATGACGATATTTCGACCTGACATTTTGTTCACAGACAGATATATTTGTGAATAGAATGTCCTGAAAATTTCAGCACAAAAGAATGTTTTCTTTCCAAGATATTAAAATCCCAAACAACAGGAAATTTTAGCATCTATAGTGAAATATGAGTGAATTTAGGAAATTTAATATTTCGAGAAGGAAATATTCTTTTGTGCTGAAATTTTCAAAGGATTCTACTCAAAAATAGACCTGCCTGTAGACAAAATATCAGGTCAAAATACTGTTAATTGATTTGTTGGTATATACCATGTTATAGGCTAAAATTCCAGTAAAATACCTATAACTCTGGACAGAATACCTAAGGGGATTTATTATTTTGAGGTTTTTCATATCTCACTGGGATCTACCTTATGTACACAGTCCGAACTCAAAAGCAATTGATCAGTTGAAAACGTTCTCTCGCAAGTAAAACATCGAGATGAAGTACATGCGCAACGTACAATTTGATCAAGAATATAATAAATATTTCGATATATTCTTCAATAACTGATGATATTACCGTGTACAACAGCATTCTAAGATTAAAAAATAGTTCAATTCTAAGGATTCTCATCTTATTAATTCTGTCATTCTTTTGAAAAGAATCGAAACGATTGTTATATTGTACAGTTCATGTATCAACAAAAAAAATATAACATTTGACTTACATAAATATATGATTATGATCATATAGTACAGCATGACGTGCATTTTTACAATCAAATAAATAATCTTTCATGTTTATTTATTGATTTTTATTTAAACTTAATCTGATGATCATTCACTTGCAAATCTTCTGATATAAATAAAATACAGATTTCTTTTGAACAAGGTTTTTCTCTTTTAATATCATATTATAGTTTCGATGATGATGATGATGATGACGATGAAATTTTGATATATTGTGATCATAAAATGAGAACAGATTGATCAATTATCAAGAACTATTTTCTAATTATCAAAGAAAATCGATTTCAAATGAAACCTTGTAAATGACAAAAAAGAAATATTCGCATGTCAATAACAACGCCTATAATACTCTTCATTCCCTTATTTCTTTCTTACAAGCAAACTTCTTCATCCAACGACATTTTTTTTTATTCATTTCTTTTTTTCTTCGTTTGTTAAATTAAGAATATGCCACTCGTCTTTCATTTGATTTTGTAGTTTGATAGACAAAAGCTATGCTATTGTTCGATTAAAATACACATATTTGTGTAAAGTACATTGATACGTCAAACAAAAAAAAAACATAATGGCAATTTATTAACAATTATCAAAAAAGAATGTCTGTTGCAACTACCGATATTCTTCTTTGTTCATCATCTATGTAAGTAAAAATCATTTTTTTGTTACAAGTAAAAGAAAGTGTAATAATTCACATTGACAACTTGCTTTAAATTATTACTAAGGATTTTGTCATGTTGATAAGGCATAGTATGGCATACATGAGTAGTCAAATACACATGATTTGCATATAAATGCAGAATAGAAACATACAAAAAAAAACATGGCATGAAAATTTAAGACTCTTTGAATATAATGAATTATATTGTTGAAAATGATTTGTTGAAGCCATTCAAGTTCTAGTTTCTGTACGTCTAGAGTTGAATATAACAATGAGATATTTATTTTACTTTAGTGGAGAAAAATTTAGAGCACGTTGAATTTTTCTCTATGAAATAATTATTGAAAAAATTCTTTTATATCTCATTCGAGGTAGAATTAGTCGATTATATTTCACTAGAAAAGTACGGACGAAAAAATCACTAGTTTTAATCATTAACTATTAACTATATTCAGAGATGTCCCGAGGTCGTCAGGATTGGAACGAGGTGTTGAACGTTGTTTAGAGTATTGGGGAGCAAAAAATGTAAATTTTTATTTTCAATTTATAAAACAGTGAATGGTATGAGGTTTTGCTCAAAATTGATTCTTCGTTGTATGATTGTTAATAGTGCAATAATTCTTAGTGATACATTGTTTTGTTAAGTTAATGCAGTTCTCATGTAAAACGAAAGTTTAAAATCTGCGGTCTAGTAATACACTGTATAAAATAGAATTATTAATTTTAAAAGACATCTGGCTGCCTTCTGTAAAGTTCAATCTGTACACTAGGTTTTTAATCGATGGCGCGCTTCATTTCAGAAAAAAAAGTCATTGAAATTATTCATTAAAAGAGATCGACTCGACTGTCGTGATCCATTGTCACAACAAACTTTTAATATAACTATATGACGACCATTTTTAATTTTGTCAAACTCACATAATTTTTTTTGTCAATGTTTAAATTTGAGAGTAGGACTTTTTTCTACTTCTCTTATCATCCCATCTTACAGTAGATATTCGTCTTTAGTAGTACATAATTCATATTCCAAGTCAAATCATACTCTTCTTATAAAATTTTGTTGTATTTAAATCAAATATCTTAATATTGAATGGTTCGAGTAGCAGACAATCAACAGCAAAAAATATATTGAAAGAAAATCATAGAAGCTGATCTGTTGACATTCTCGAATGATCGATCATTAAGAATAATGAATTCATCTTCCACTTTGCGAAAACTATGATTCGATTTATTCTTAATTGAATTGAAATTTTTCGTTATTGTAGTTTTATGTTTTTTCTTTGGCAAGTAACGAACCTTACTGATACGGGACGATGTGCTTTTGTGCATACCACTAGTATGAGCTGTCATTTTGTAACAGATCACACAAATGAAATCAATAGAATTTTCATTATTCACGGTCACGATGATCTCTACTCATGACCAGTAAAAGTGCCCAATAGACTCTATAATACATTTTAGAGACTATAGTAGAGTATCATTTGAAAGTATCATTTCTACTCTACACAAAATACTAAACCTCAAATTTTAAACTTGCGTTATACATTAGAATTGTATTTAGTTAGTAATACAATGTAATCATAAAGATTACTGTACGATTGTTTTCGACATGGCGGGGTGGAGCTGAAAATTCGGCAGAATATGCCTTCGTAAGAATATCTGTTAAAAGCAGAGCTAAAATCTCCTTTCTGTTAGAAATTTCAACGGTATTGAATACTTCAGAAAGTATTAGAATTTTTGCAGAATAGTCAAAATTTTTGAGAGAAAAAAAAACCTTGATATCATCTCTCTAATCTAAGATTCTGATCAAACTATAGCAGATCTGAACAATACAAATGATTAATTTCTCAAATAGATATCATTCAGATGTGTGACTAAATATTTGTGTTCACGATCTTTATTCTTTAAAAAAAGCGAAAAACTTACGAGTTTTCTCCAAGAGTTTTGAACAAGAAATCAAATAAATGCAGGTTTGACAATTTAATAATATTAAAGAAATCCAATCAATTCTGTCAGTTTTAACAGACTTCAAAAATATTCACGCATTCTGATGTAACACTTTCAAAAAAAATGGTGGTATAGTTTCTCAGTAGTTCTGACATGGGTTTCGAATTTATAATAATTGTAGAAAGAAAATACAATTATTGAGATTTCCTATTAAAAACTATTTTCTCTAAGATCTCATTCAACTTCTTATAAAAATAATTGAATTACAGATTGTAGATATTATTGAATAATAAGGTTATCAACTCTTTAGATTAAATCGGTTTTTATTTTTCGTTCTAAATTTATTTAATGTGAATATACTAAATCAAAGAAAAGATCTATTTGAACTGCTTTTGTTATCTTAGAATGATAAAATATAGAGAAAAGTTTCACCTGAGAGAATTTATTCAACTCTGACAATAGATTCTATTAAAATCTAACAGTAGCATCAAAACTAAAAAATGAATTCAGATATTCGAGAGAAATGATTTGTATGTATCTTTCCGTAGCATACAGAGAAATACCTTCTGTACTCAGTAACTTAATTCGTAACGCTAAATCAATTGATTATGATTGAACTTCAAGAGAGGGCTGGATAAGTACGAGTACGTACTCGAGATTTTAGACAAAAGAGATTGTGTCCTATGATAATGTAAATCCGGCGATGCTCATACGCAAAAACGATCAATTAATAAATTCGAGGCTACCATTGTATCTATTTTGTTAAACTTTATTGTTGATCACCACAACTGAGATTGGCGAGCGTGCGTTTGTTAAACTATTCACGACATTGGCATCATATTTTGTCTAAGATGTTTTTGAACAATTTTTTTTCGATGATTTTGAAGTTTAAATTTTGCTGCATGTTCTTGACAAATCTCCTATATTAAAATTAACCCTCCCGGAAATACTCATCGGTGCATCTATTCATCTAGAAATTGAAGCTTTTTTGCGAACATTATCCAGAGAAGTAGATTAGCTTTCCTCCTCATTAGTATCAAAGTCACAATAGTAGATGACTGGATCAAATTGAATGGATATGTGTCGGGTAACTGCTTACTCTACAATATTTAGGAGAATACAAACTTACCTTTGAGTAATACTCGAGAAACTCCATACTTGCTCAGACAATCATTTATTATCTCAAAAAATATCTGTACTTTTTCAGATCTAGTACATGTCTTCTCTTATATATATAGTGTTAGGTCAATAGAATGTTCGAGATCTAGAAAAAGAAAACCAAATATTAATATTCTTCACAGAAAAACTGCAATGAATATATTTAATCAATTCTCATTTTATTTTTTAAAAAACAAGTAACTTATTTTACATGCATAAATAGAGTAGGGTAATTAAGCTTCTTGTTTTTTTTGCTTAGAAAACTCGTAAAAAGAAAATTATATTCTAGTATAAATTATTTTGATGTTTCTGATTAGCTTGACAATATTAAAAATATCTTCGCGCTGAAAACAAATAAAATGATTTTAAATAAAGATATTTTCGTTGTAGTCCAGAATTAGAACAAGGTGCTATTGACCAAACTAAATAGAATATAAGAATCGATCGAATAATTACTTTCTTTTGCATATTATTTGTTTGTTCAACTCTGACGATTGTTATTTTGATTATGGATATATACGATTTTTTTTTCTTCTTTTTTTTTCGCTTCAACCAAGTGTTAGAAATGTTTATTTTCGTCATGTGAGATGCCATTACTACTTATTTAAAGTGCTTAATAGCTAAACATTTAAACGAAAAAAAACAAACTAGAGCATTTATTCTTTTATACGGATTTGATCGTTTCGACAAAGTGAAATCGATGAGAACATAAGACTGTATGAAAAACTGTACGCGTTTTGTATTATTGTATTAAATAAAACATATTATATATAAGATAAAACAAAAAATATAAAACAAATGTCTTATGGAACGAGTAGTAGTGGTTATTTGACATGGGCTGAAGAAGTTCCTATTTCTTTTACTGAATGGAAAACAATTCTTTCAAAATTAACAAAAGAAGAAATTAAAAAGCGGTTATTTCCTTTATATTATTTTTTTTTCAAATAAATCTACATTTTATTTATATTTCAATAGACTTTCATCAAATTCTGACTCTCATCGTCTATCAACATCACGTCAATATTCTCCAACAACAAAAAGAAATGAACGACAATCTCTACCAAGAAATAATGTCTTTGGTGATAGCGTTATTGATTCATTTCTTGTTTCATCATCATCATCAAATTTAACTCAATCAACAACAAATATTTCTCAACAAGGTATAAAAAGAAAAACTAACTCAAATGACTTCATTTAATGTCATTCATTTGTTTATTCAGATATATCAAAACGAGTTTCATCATCAACAAAACGTTATGTTTCATCATTTAAAACACTAGTGAATTCTACTAGTAGCAAACATGCACAACGATTAAGTTATGTTAATGATAGTGTTATTATCGTTAAATTATCAAAAGAAAGTAAGGAAAAAAAAATTATGACTATCATTTAAAAATAAAATAAAAACTATTAGATGCAACAGAAAATAATAGTAGTATATCACAGTTATCGAACAAAAATTCTACTTTACCAATGACAGCATCAAGAACCCTTACAACTCCATCTCGTAAACAATCATCTTTTTCTCCATCAAGATTAAGTCCAGTGTTGAAACTTGAAGCGCAGAGTAGGTGAACATATATTTTTTCTTTTTCTTTTTTTCTTTTGTTTTCCTTTAAACGTCAATATTGTAATTCAAACAATCGATCGAACGGAACATTCAAGTTTTTTTTTTTTCGAACTTTTATACTTATATCTTGATTATAATCTTTAGTACGTCGTCATGAAGGCGAACGAGACAGAAAAGAATATGTTGAGTTGTGATGGAGAAAAAGAAAAGGAGAGAATGACTCGACAAGGTAGCCAAATGCAAACGAGTGAGAAAAAGAAGAAAATTGACAACGTCAATTGTTGAAATAAAAGACACACATACGCACACAGAACGACAAGCAGCAACAGAAAAGAACGTTTTTTTTTTCTTACTTTTCTATATAAAGATGTTGGTTACATTTTTCTTACTATGTTCATTGCTTATCATTTTTAGAACGTCGACTTACACATCATGATTCTTCTTCAATTACATCAACAAATAATTATTTAAATATTTCTTCAAATTTAATTAATAGTATGGCAATGAGTACAACCAGTCATACACCATCCAATCCATCTTTATTTACTTATCGAAATACACTAACAGGAGGCAACACTATTCGACAAAGAGCATTCGTTGAAACACCTACGAATAACTTATTAATTACAACAGAACGAATTAAATCAAATATATCTTCAGCTATGCGTCCAACACGGCAACCATTAACAACAGCAACTGCAACAACAACAATGTCATCTACATATATTTCATCTCAACAATCACAACGTAATGCTAATCAAAATACAAGATCACGTATTCAACAAGATAAATCAATGAATTTGAAAGGTATAGAAATATATATTTCATCATAATTCAAATTATTTTTCAAATAAAAAAAAATGCATAAAATTATTTATAGAATTTTTGTTGAGTGCATAAATAAATCTGTTATTATTCAAATTGACATTCATGTAGTCAGAAAAAAACAAAAAAATAATATAAAATCATAACATATAAAACGACTAGTCGGATAGAATTATATTCATGATACTTTGTTTTTTTCTTTACTAATTTTAGAACTTTATGAATATCCTGATCCATTTACTAATTGTCCTCAAGATTTTCTAAGTAAATTAGCTCAACTTACAAAACTTCAATTAGAAACAATTGAATGGGAAAAGAAACGACGATTTGCAAAGAAAAAAACAATACCAAACGGCATGATACAAGGAAAAGACAGTCCTTAACAAATATTTGTAAACAGTCTCTTTTCTTTTGCACCATTTGTTTATTTTTCTTCTACTTGTCTCATAAAAAAAACAAAAACGAAAGAAATGTTATATGTGCCTTGAAAATTTTCTTTTTTTTCTTATGATGTGAAAAGTGATAATTTTATGTGAATGTTTCAAAAAAAACATACATTATTGCTATTTGAAAATGGATGAAAAAAACAAATAAATCCATCTTCTTTTTAATGAGAATAGCTTTGAAATAATTTCAAAAATTAAATTATATTTTGAAATTTAAGTGAGGAATGTAAACGCATTTTATTTTTGTTCTTCCTAATGAAATATTTAATAAAATTAAGAAAGTTTTGATTTATTTTTCTAAGACAACTCCTCGACAATTAATCTTGAGCATGGCTTTCGTTTGATTCTGCGCTTAAGAACGGAAAAGAGTTAAATGAGAAAGTCTCTCAAAATTACAGAGAAATCTGGCATTCATCAGACTTTTTTTTTTTTTTTATAGAAAAATATATTCTCAGTCTGAACTTTTAATACTCCTATTCTCAATCGTGAACACTTTCCGTCGTTGCTCTTTCTCGTGTTAGTAAATTAGTAAAGAAATTCTGATCGATGCGAACAAATATATTTTTATTACACACAAAAATTGTTGACGTCAATAGTTTTCAAAGAAATGTTTTTGCTAATAGCTGTATGAAGTTTTGTCTATTGTTTATTGCGAGTGTAAATGTTTTTCTTCTCTTCACCAATATCACACGTCAGCGGTGGAACCGATTACCGGTCAGCCTGCCAATAGATTGGTCGTTACTGATATGTCTTATTAGGTATTTTTGCTCATGGTACAACAACTTGTAAGTCCGGTCTGGACTACTCAGACTGGTACCGGTCGTGAAAAATCCAGACCAATTCTATCTCTGTCCTTCACTATTAGAGGAGATGAACAAAATGGTCCTATTTAAAATTTTATTGCTTCACCTAAAAAATTAACCGTGCACTACGCTCGAGTATCCTACGAAAGTGTTGTAAATATCATATCCGATAAAATACATCATATCAGTATTTAACAGTAACTATTGAAAATTTTCGTATTTTAAGATAAGACATTTATCAGATATCTAATAAGTCACATAATCGAAACATGTTCAGTAAAAAGACACTTGAAATTGCTGGTCAGATATTGCATGTAGTACTCTGCAGTATTTATTAAATGAATTTTAGATATCTACACGATCAAATAATATCGTTGACGTTTGTTTTCTTTTCTGTCTTTTTAATATATTACTGTTCAAAATAAGATTTGATTCAATTTCTCTATGAGAGAAAATAAAGTAAAACCACCCATAGTGGATATTTCGCAGTCGAACGGAGTGATTTTTGTTGGAAATGAATCTCCCTAAAGTGGACACTGTCGTATAGTTCTATGGTAGATACTTTCGAAAAGTCTCAAAGATATCCATAATAGAGAAATTTCACTATATTTTAACAACTGTTAATTTTTCAAGAAAAATGCATGAGAAGAAAAGCAACAATGAGCAGTAACTAATTATTTTATTCACTATTACCATTCGTATACCTAGAAAACGTGTCTGTTTCTTGTGAAAAAAAAACTGTACTTTTAAAAAAAGATCTAATCTCCTTATAGTAGGCACTTTTGAAAAGTCTGAAGGTATTCACTATAGAGAGTTTATACTTTAACTGATTTTCTTTAAAAAATTATAAACAGAATTTCGCATATATATTGATGTTCATTAATTGAATAGCACATGAAAATTTTTAAAAGTTTCGAATATAATGGATACTTCTTGATATAAATGTCATTGGATATGACCAAATTCATTGAATAAGTGTACATCTATTAGGTATTCCATCTTAATTATTGTTTCGTTCCGCTATTTTGATTCAAAGAAATTTGCCATTTTTCATTTACTAATGTAATGATTCTATTACATTATTTGAATAGCCCAAGCTAATAACTTGACTAATTACGACATTGGAAAATATCTCTGTATTGAGTTTTTCATGGTCAAGACCGACTCATGTGACGAGAGAAAAAATCTAGTCTTTGTGTATTGTTTGCCTGTAGATTTTCTGTAATATATTAACGTCCATCAAAAGAAGTAACCTAAATTTCACTACGACTTCTTATTTTCTAGGTTTAGATCATGCCTATACGTTATGTAACTAATCATAGACGATATATCACATCATACTGTGACGTTTAAATGGTAGAATATCAATTGTGATGTTTAATGATTAAATTAAAACGTATTTAATATGATTTAGGATGCACAAAATGATGAATTCATAGCAATAAATAATATTTATTGTGACAGAAAATGAGAATTAACATTTAGATATATCATAATGCGATTTGAAATAGATCACTCATAATAAATACTGAATCATTATGTTTATTTGTATTTTTGTTATATGATCAAATCATTTAATCTCGAATTTTTTCAATACACTTATTCATTTTAAATATATCATCAATATCAATGGAGAAATGAAGAGAAACACTATTGATCTGAAAAATTTTCTATTGATAGAATTTGAAGCAGATTTTTACAAATGTAAATCAATAGGGAATATTGAAAGCACATTTATATTAATGACAAAAAAACATTGTATTTCGTTTGTTGGCTTGTTTATTAAATCGTTGGGTTCATTCAATATAGTTAAATGACTTTAAGTGAATCAGAATCAATTATCAGCAAATATTTTATTTGTTTACGTAAAGAAAAATCAATTGTAATGATATTAGGTTCTAATCTATTCATGTCAATAACATTATTTAAGTATTGATATGAAAGATGAATATTAATGAATAAACGATTTCTAAATTATTTCAATCGAATTTCTGCTGCATTCATACGATATTTATCTTTTAAGTTTATCTCACAGTCATTTGTCGTGACATATCAGTTCAAGCTATTGCGCATATATTCCGAAACCAATGGACATTTTTGCTTGTAATCATTGTGAAACTTATGATGAAATTGACTTTCGTATTAACGTATATTTATTCATGTATAGAAATTCGAACAGATTTGATTGTTCCAACCGATCATTAATGGCACTCGCCAAAAATCTTCAATAATTTATTCACACAAGTTCAAATGAATACTATGATAAATAGATTAAATGATTTTCATCTACAAAATACTTAGGACACATTTGATTAGCTAATGAACGAAGCATCGGAACTGAAACCTACCGTTTGAGCTTATATTGAACCTACAAGGACAAACAAAAATCTAAAAGACTTCGCCTTCATAGGCCTTTCGGACCAAGTTAGGATCATTTTTTACTGAATTTTCGACCCTGCTTGGGATATATATTGAAAAATAAAAAAAAAGAATTTCGATGTGCAATTTTACCCATAGATAGTATTAATAACCTGCTGAATATCTTGAAACTTCCAGCTAAAAAAAGAATATTCTTTTGTCGAGATATCAAATTTCAAAAAAATATTTACTTGACATAGGTATGATACAAAAATTGAGTTTGATTGAAAATTTAATATCTCAACAAAAGAATATTCTTTTTAGCTGAAACTTTCAGGATATTCTACAAGTCATTCGACCCATCTATGCTCAAAATTTCATGTCGAAATTCTGTTATTTGATTTTTCAATATATACCTAAAGCAGGGTCGACAATTCAGTAAAACGATCATAGCTTGTCTTCAAAAGACTTATAGAGACAAACCCTTTTAGACTTTTGCTAATCGTATCAAAGCATCATCGTAGGCTCAATATGAGTTCAAACGGTATGTGTCAATTCAACTGATTCTATCGTAAGAAGTGGTCCAAAAATGTATTAACAATAAATAAGATATACATGATGTAATTTAAGCATGTTCATTCTAGAAATTAACCTATATTGACATTGATCATACGTTTATAGCTGACATATTACATGTCATAGGCAATTCATCATTTCTAATGAAAAACAAAATTATTCTGTGAAATATGGTCTTAAAAGGGTGTTGAAGTATAAGGTTAAAAATTTGGATCCAGATTCTCCACAGATCGTGACTAACGTTGTTGATATACAATCAAATAACATCCCGTTACAATATTTGAACTATTTCTTTATTGCATTTCTAGAGGATTAAGTAAAACGATGGTGAAGCAATTTGTCCCGAAATAGATAGAATAAAACAATCTTCTTATGATTAACAAGAGCAGCTACATTATATTTCACATTTTAATCCCGCAGGGATAGCACTAATAGCTCTTTTGTTTTATGTTTTTAATCAATTTGGAAAAGTGAATACTTAGTCTATAATTGCGTGCTAAATATCACGATATAGAGCGAAGTGTAGCTAAAAATACCAGCAGTCTACTTAATTGATTTTAGGTTCTTCTACATCTTCATACACTTGCTCATATTTAGCATTCTTTCATCAATTATCAAAAGTTTTAGATCGAATAAATTAGATTATAAGATTAGTATATTTTTATCACGTAATTCTACCGTGTGGTTTTTCGTAATTTTATACTAATCGATTTTATAAATAAATCTTTCAAGTCGTCGTACACATTTTTTAAAGCCACAAAAGAATATAAACCATCTACAAACTAGATAACTTTTCAATTAGAGCATGATCTTGATAAGAATATATTTTACTATTTTTCATAATAGAAATGTCGACAGATCTTATGACAAACTCGCATAAACACACTTAAGAAATAATATATTATATATATGTATATTTCGTATTCTTCAAAATGAAGTATGTTCTTGTAAGAAATAATCAATGACATTGATGTAAATTTTTCTATTCATTCCGACTGTTATAGAAAAGATAAAAGTAGATCTAGATACTCCTGTTTATTGCATTCTTCTTTATTCAAAAATCTAGTTTTTTAATATCTTTTGGTGCAATTTTCAGCAATGATGATGGAGTGTCTGGCTGTTTTATTGCGATATTCTACTACAAAAAGAAAATATACAATATTTATTCTGTCATTCATCTTGACCTTGGTCTATGTTTAA